GTACCGTAACTAACTTACGTATAGCATACATATACAAGTATAGAACACACACACACACACACACACACACACACACACACACCTTGAGGAATCAGTAGATATAAAAAGTTTGTGTGGCTTATGCAGCATAAGTGTTGTTCAAAGCTTTGATGGAGATATTGCATTAAATCTCCAGATAAATATTGGACTTTGAGACCCACTTTGCACATGTTTATTGACAACAACTAATGCTGTAAAAAGAAAAAAACATAGCCCCCAGAAGCTAATAGCTAGAGCTTACTTCCAGATTGGGATAAAACACACTTTTAAAGAACATAAGGAAAGGCTAATCTGAGTAAACAAGATGATTAACATACTGGGATACGCCGGTACATGCCATAGGCCTGTTTGACCACTCACATATTAAACAAACACACATACCGTGATGTCACGAGTCAGCGTTTGGAGGCATGAGAAGGAAGTACATCCATCACTGGCCTGCTGCCTGTAGTTGCACACGCTCAACTCTAGGCCTTGCATGCAGGGACTTGCTGCTGCACATGTGACACTGCATGCTGTGTGCATGTTAAAACTTGAACCCTCCAGCGGTGTGCTTTACGCAAGAAATTTCCAAAGTAATTACAGTCGTGACAATCTCCTCTGCCACAGGTTTGCACATTACAAATGATTCTCTTGCAAGCTGCTCCTGTTTCCTAAGATCTAACAGCAGTTTGAGTCTTCTGTGTGTTTGTAAAATGTGGCTGTGTGTGTGTCTGGCCCTGCACATTCTCGTAGGAGTGAAGTGGTACAATGGGAAGTTTTTGAGAATAGTGACTCATGCTTGAGGAAGCAGTCACTAGCATATTTAACAGAGTTTTGATTCCTCCTCTTCACAAGTAGAGACAGAAATGCTATGCACGATCCACCTTGCTCAAATAACATATAGGCTACTGTATGTTAGTATGGAAATGGCTGCTTATGAGTTAAAGCAGTAACAGCAGACGGCTTCACCATCAAGTGCAATCAAATCCTCTTGCAGACCTCATAATGCAGAAAGCATGAATGGGTCTTGCTATTTTTCGGGATTAAAATGCAGTAGAGATCAGTGATTTTGCCCTTGATGAATAAAGCCTTTTATACACTTGACTTTTTTTCCGTCAGACCTTAAATAAATTCCTGTGCTTACAAGTTGAAAGTAGGGAGATGGATAAACAGAATGCAAATCTGTGCATTCATCCGTCCACCGCCCACACATCTACTCGACCACTTTCCATTTAAACCTAGGCCAGTGAAGTGACCCAACCACCCATGATTAAACAGCTGTTTATCATGTGAATATCTCCACCTCTAGCCGTTCAAATTATTAATATAAAAATGTCCTAGCTCACACAAATTACAGTAGTGAGAAGGATCTGGGACTTCACTGTGCAAGAACTGGATAAAGGGCAGCAATTAGTTGATAGTTGTTTAATCTGAAAACTATTTATTTGACTTATCGCTTGGCCTTGCGGTTGAGGCCTTCAAATGCCTTGTTTTGTCTGATCTAAAGCCCACAACTCATAGATATTGCATTCACAATGAGATCAAACGGAGTGAAGCTGCAAACGCTGACATTAAAGAAACTAAGGAAAGGTTATACATTGTTTGTTTTTGAACAGCTACATTCAAAAGGAGGGTTGAAACGCCAAAAGGCAAACAAAGATTCTGCACCTGTCTTCATTGCAAGGGGCAGGGCAAGATTATTATAAACTGTTCATGGCTTGTATTAAAGACTTCATGCCCTATATGTGTCAATCAATTTAGTTGTTGTAGCACTTTTGTATTGATATTTCCAGGAAGAACACACATGCTTTATTTTGAAGTGAGAAGAGGGGTGCAAGGAAAACCTTTTTAGAAGAAGTGGAGAAAGCCCACATTGAATTAACTAGAAGAACAAAGACACTGCACTCCAGCAGAGCTTCATTAAAATCAGCCTGCAGCGTCCTCACCTCTTTGTAGGACGACATGATCCTCTCGATGGCGTCGGCCCCTGAGGCCAAGAGGTTACGGGCGGTGGTGAAGGCCTCTGTCCTCTCGCTCACCATCGTGTGTGTCCGTCCGTCTGCTGTTTCTAAAAAAGGACAAAATTCAAGGTGTGAGAAACACTAGAAATATCTTAAAATAAGCAACAAAAGAAATCAACTTCCCATTTGCTCTCTCTGGATTCTCTCACACCTACGAGCATTGGGATGCCATGGAGATTTGTTATTTAAATCAGCGGTGACACCACAACACAGCAGTAGTGCTCGTCGGCAAACAAAGGGACTCAGATGAAATGTCATCGGGGAGGTGTGGGAGGCTGCTTCTGTTCTCACACATGCTAATCAGCCCTCTGCTTGAGGAGGAAGCAGTAGCTGTTGGTTTGGAGGTGCTAATGGAAAATGTGTTTCCACCAAAGAGTAAAATAGTGGCACTACAAACTAGGCACTGGACAAACATTTGTATTCCCTCTGTTTGGTTTGGGGCACATTAGGGCATCCTTACTGTTATCAGCGAAGCCGGTGGCCGTGATGATCGGCACGGCAACCATGACGAGTCCACAGGCGCTCCACACATACTTCATGAGGAACTGCTCGATCATGATGTACCACAGACGCTTGGACAGGATCAGGTTCATCTGGTCGGCCAGAGCTCGGTAGCACTTCTGCAGCTGACGCATCTCCACCTGCAGAGGTCAAAATCTCACAATATTTAATCACTCCCTGCATTACTGTGATGAAATAATACTGGGGGCGGGACCTTTCAGTTTATCTTCATCTGAACCTATATAGATTGAGGTCCACTAGGTGTAAATATAATAATAGGATGGAGTTATGAACTTTGTTACTTGATGTTGGCTATCAAGATAATCACTTATCTTATGTAGGTGGACAATACTTGTAAAAGGGCCAAAGATATGACTGAGGGTAAATAAAAGAGAGTTGAAGTTAATATTTGTTTGATAAAGGTGTGTAGACTAACTATGATGGACATTTAGACCATATGGCATACTAACCCATGGTCTATTAATAGAGCATATGGATGTACTATTGTGGATGTGTTTCTAGTCTCAAAATGTAATAACCACCAATATTTCGTTTGTAATAATGTGCAAGCCTGCCAAAACAAATGCAACTGCAGATCCAGCCCTGCATACCTTGTGTCCCCTGTAGAAAGCTATCTCCTCCGCATTAGCAATGATCCTGGAGTGCACATAGCGCAGGTAGCCCTTCCTGTGAGCCTCCTCGGCCACCAGCTTGCCAAATTTGGGAGAGCAGGCCCGGAGCACCTTAGCCGTGACAAAGACCACCAGGCCGGCCAGCAGGGTGGGCCCACTGGCGTTGGCCCCCCTGGATCTGGCGGTCTGGATCAGGGTGTAGGAGGTCAGCATCACGTCCAGAATTGGCTTGGTGAGGTTAGAATAGAGGTGAGCCACGGATTGGGAAAACATCATGACGTCCTCAGTGAGAGACTGGTCCGGGTTGGCGAGTCTCCCGTCCATGTTGCTGACTCTGTAGTAGGTCTGATCGGTGAAGTAGGTCCGGTATGCATGGTTCACCAGCCGGGTGCGGAAGGCCAAAGCCAGCTTGCACTCCAGGAACCGGATAACGCTGTTGACGAACGTGGCCGGGATTGCAATGAGGAGCCATTTCATCAGCTGGAAGATAAAGCTCTTAGGTTCCTTCTCCACTATCGTTTTAACTATCTTCCCGTCCAATGTAGCCACGTAAATAGACAAAAACGTCCTGGATATCAGCGCCACCGAGTGCAAGGAGAGCAAGACGAGCTCTTTGGACACAAGCTTGGGGAAGAGGATTTTACCAAGTTCGAGGATCTGCCTAAAAAATTCAGCATTTACTCCAGGGGATGAATTCTTCGGCCCCGCAGTACATATCTGTGTTTTTCCCACACATGTAGCACCGTTTTCCGCCTTTGATCCCCGGCGATTATTCCTGTTTTCTTTGTTTTTTCTGAGCTGCCTGCAGATGATGGGGTACAGTGTTTTGACACCGTAAGCAGCAGCTGCAAGAAACACGGCTCTCTTCGCCGCAGCCGTACGGTCCCACTTTATTTTGGACGCCGCATCGAGGATGTTGGACATTTTTCTAACGTTAGTCGTCTCTTCGTACAATCCTTGCAACACCCATCCCCCAAAACCCGACTCACCGCGTCGACATAAGTAGAGAGAAGGTCTTCTTGTGGTTGGATTGATGTAAAGCGAGCCCGACTCATGTACCGCTACATCCTGCTCTTGTTCTACCACTGAGAAGAAAGCGGGACCAACTGCAATGTACTTCCGGTGTACCGTTTTCAAAATAAAAGCTGACGGTCAACTTCCTCTAAAGTACAATGTCATACAACTCTGATTCAACTGCGTGGCTTCTAACAAGAATTTGCTTAACTTCCTGAATAACTGTAGTTTTTCTCAGTGACTTGACGCTCCTTATTTCCGCCCTAAGCGTTTGCAGTTCCTTTATTATTGGTCAAGCCCCCAGCGGCAGAAGACGATTGGTTGCAACTTGCGTCACTGGACGTAACAAAGTAGTCTGTACAGTCTGTACCGTTTCTACTGTATGGCTGTATCCTTGTTTGATGGTAAACAATGTCATGGGACAGGCATTGTGTAACGTTATTCAGAAAAATATAACGCTGTACGCAAAATACACCGCTTACCAATTCAACAAAAGTGGGCAAGGAATTATTACACCTTTTCATAAGGATGTTTTAAGTGGCGCGTGACAGTATAGTTTTTGTTCCTCGTGCAAATCTACCTACTTAATTAGTCGAACGTTACATCTCTACCTAGCAACACACATTTTGCTAGCTAACGTAGCTTTACCAATGTGAACTTTTACACTGGCATTAGTATAGTGTTTATTGTTTCACTGTTCGTTTTTTGATAGATACAGCTGTTGAAAATGAATTGGGTCGGGGGCTCAAGGTAAGAGAGGGGGAAATGTTCAGTCTAATACCATTAATGTTCGTGCTAATGTAAACGTTAGCTAGGTAACGCTAACGTTGTAACAATTCTTATTGCAGGAGCAGGGTTGTTGTGAAGAATGATGCAAAAAAGCAGAGGGTGAGACAGCCAGTAGTGGAAAGTAACTAAGTGCATTGACTCAAGTATTGTACTGAAGTGCTTTTTTAAAGCATATTTATACTAGTTTAATTTAATTCCACTTTATACTTCTACTCCTTTACATTCCAAAGGCAAATGTTGTAGTTTTAACTCCACTACATTTATTTGTTTATTTGTATATAACAACACTTGATAGATATGGTATAATGCATATTATATACAACTGTACTACTATTCTCTACACAGTACTTTACATATCTACATTTTGCCCACATAAACAATAATAAAATGCTCTTACAAGTAAACACAGGATAATATTATAACACTGTGAAACGGTCTAGTCTGCATAAAAAGTACTTTTGATACTCAAAAGACATTTAGCTGATAATACAACTGTACTTTATGTAATTCTGAAATTAGCAATTGTGCAGAATGAGTAATTTTAACTTTTGTACTCAAAGTACATTTTGATGCTAATACTTTTACATGTATGATATTTTTGAATCAGGATTTGACTTGTAGTGGAGTATTTTAAGATCATAGTATTAGTACTTTTACTTAAGTAAAGGTTCTGAGTACTTCTTCCAACACTGGAGACAGCTAAATACAAATTCCATGACTACACTAGACAACAGTTTTAAACTTTGTCTTAGTCTACAGTGATGTTCTTGGTTTGCTCTTTTACTCAGGAGTTTTTTGAAAAGAGGAAAATGCAACAGAAGTTGAAAAACTTGGGAATGGCTCTACCTGCATCTCCAAAAGGAACTAGTGCTGGGAGCATGGACCTGGTGACATTATTTATCGTCAACCAGATTGCTTCAAAGAAAGAAATTACAGGTGAGAAGTAGCAACTATGTAAGTAAATAATTACAGTTACCAAAACTCAAACTAGGCTAAAAGTGAGAAAATATAACACAAGTTCAAGAGAAAATAATGAAGTGTAACCCCATCCTCTCCTTTAGTGTTTATGTCAAACCTATTTAATGTCCGAAAACTACCAGACATTGTAACAAACTGTATTAGCAAAGGGTTAATTGAGAAATGCAGTATACGTTTTTCCCAAATGATTAAACACCAAATAACCCTTCTGCAAATATGTGGCTTATATATATGTATATACAGAACATATGACTAAAGTTATATCTATCTACCAATGCCTATGTTCATCAGTCCGTATGGAAAAGGATGTAAGTAGATCATGTGTTTTTCAGATCCTCCAAAAGTGGCGGTTCTTGGCAGCTATAAAGGAGGATCCAAGCATAGGAGAAATGAGCTGCTGGTTCTCCCAATGAGCCCTGGCTCTCCTTCACAGCTGAGTCTTGTCGAGGGCCAACCTGAGTACAGGTAGACCTGGTTACATATCATTTTGTTCGCATCACCCAGATCAATATAGAATAAAAGGTCCTTACAGCACATTTTACAAGTTATAGAAACTGTCCCAGTCCAACTTCATGGCATGTGAATTAAAAGTCCAATCTGTGGTTTCTATCTGTATACAGTCAGTTGTTATCAACATTCATTGTTTATATTCTGTGTCAATGTCTAGTGTTCAAGGAATTAGGAAAAGAAAGCATGTTATTCCACAAGGCTTCAAGTGTCGGCAGGTTAGTCACTCTCCAGCTATTCATGTTGCAATTTCTTAGCTCTAGAAAAGGTAATGTGATTGCACTGTTGCGAAACAGCATAAGCCCCACTGTGTTGACTTTGCTTGGTTTGGTTTTCTCCACAGTCCAAAAACATGCAGGTGGGGTTAAATGTAATCATAGATGGACCCTCTGGCGTAAAACGTTATTTACTGCTCTATCCCCAGTTGTCACCAGTGCTGGAGTCAGCTTACTCAGACAACAGTGCATCTGACTATCTTCCACCCATCACCGACCCCCTCAGCCCCTTCTCCACTTCCTCAGCTTCTTCAGGCCAAGGTGGTGTTGCAGTTTATTTTATAAAACAATATTTGAATGAATTAAATGACATGATATTAACTGTGCATATCAGTCAACTTAGGTCTTATCAAACTGTCTGCTCAGGTTTATTCCCCCTGCAGATGAACCTCCAGCAGAGAAGCCAGATGCAGCTTCCCCACTGCTCCCCCCCACCATGGGACACCTCAGGGCTGAAGCAGACCAAGGTAAGGAAAAGAGAATATTCTTTAAAAATATATATACTTTATGTCTCACATTAAATGTCATCACAATAGGTCATGGTTACAGTTGCTTTTATTACATAGACATGTGATCCTTTAACTCCACATGGAGCTTAATAGGCTTTGGATTGACTGCCTGACATTGAACAAAATGCAACAAACTATACTACTTAATTAAATGATGCTGGATCTACTTCTCCAAGTGTCAGCAGTAGTATCTTAGACACAGCATGACAGTGCCTTCCTGACAGGATGCTACTTAATATACAATTTATTTCTGCTAGTTTCAGCCTTTCTCCCTGCCAAGAGTAATGGAGAACAGTATCTCGTGGTCCTGTGGATCAAAGACCCCTCTCTACCAGTTGAAAACCCCCACAGCTGCAGAAGTCCTGTTTGGAAGTCCAAAGCCAGAGTGAGAACTATACTACAAGTTGACAAACTATTTAAAATTCTGACATTTTGTAGCACTCAAAGCACATGTTTATTATCCCAGCAACACAGAGGCGATGGACCAAGCAAGACGTGATGTCTCCTTCTCCCTTAGCCAACCAGAGGGCGAGGAGGCCATGTTGGACTTCACCCTCAACCAATCAGAAACTGAGCAGCAATTTGAGGGAGAGGTCTTCAGAGGCTTCAGTACTGAAGAATGTGAAGAAGAAGCTAAACACTTCTTAAAACGTACATGTCATCAGAATCAGAAATCTTTTTTTTGTCCTTAAATTAGGCTGACATTAAATAGATAAAGCAAACGATAAAAGTACATAACCATGGTCAAATTAAAATGCAGCATAAGAAAAGTAATGGCTTTCTTGTTGAGGTTAACGTGATATTTCATTCCAGCTGCTCATTACGGGAGAGGTCCATCAAAGATTTATCTGGAAGACGAAACACCAGCCGAATCCTCACAGTACGTCTTCACACATTAACCATATCAAACATCTTTTATCATTGATATGTGATGTACTTTGTTTTTATGTTTTTGTTATATTTTTCCTTCACTATCAGAACTGTCCCTGACTCTCAGTGTATGGAAGTGGAGGACAGTGACCTCATACATGTGAGTGTGCTTAGTTAGTGGCCCTTTATTGCCACCAGATGGTAGAGTTTGTAACTACAGTCTGTGGAACCTACACAAATTAAAATCATTTAAACAATAAAAATCTGCTGGACAATTAAGAAAATGTGAACTGATTCTGGAACCATCTGCTGTATCAAGCTTCTAACTATCGCTTCTAACAAGCTTCTAATGTCTCCTGATAGAGGGATATATGGGAACTGTGCACAGTGTAGGCAGATGCAGTTTACATGTTAATTCTGTTTCATTCACAGTTCTCCAACTGCACTGACATGAACCTTTGTAAGTGTCTTAAGCATCTCCAATTTATCCCCCCCTTTGATGTGTATATGCTAGAGAAAGACAATACATTGAAAAGGTTTTTTTTTTCTCACTCCTGCAGCATGTCTTGAACACAACAAGGTCCTCATGAATGGCTGCGAATACTCGCCAAGTTACTCTTGCAGGAGAGGTTACCTCAGTTCAGACTCAGATGATGTAAGTGAAGTTACACTTGGGGACATTTTTTACATCTTGCTGTTGTGCTGGGACTTCAAATTCAACTCAGAATAAATCTACTTTAAACATTTTACAACATTAAGAGTTATATATTACATTAAGATGTGTTTGAACATGTTAAAATACATAACTGAGCTAAACGAATAAGAAAAACATGCAAACTTGCTATAAAAAACCGAATTAAATGGGCCCTATTATGCTTTTTGGGTTATTCCCCCTTCCTGTGGCTCCTGGCTAGAGTTACACCAAATTGTACGTGATAGGCTAAGGGGTGGGACATCTCTAAAAGCTGTTGACCAATCACCAAAGAGGTGTTGCAGCACAGGCAGTATGGGAAAAATAAATCACTTTTTGAACATAAAAGCATGGAAATATTTCAGTTCCAAAATGCAGTGGGAAGAAATGAAAAGCCACAGTAGTGTAGTCCTAATTATTCAGTTTTGTTTTATTATTTGACAACTAACTTGTATTACTTTTAATTAATTTAAAATGAATAAACAAAGAGTGGAAGAAGTGAACATCCCCTCAGCTATATTTACACTGAACAAAAATATAAACGCAACACTTTTGTTTTTGCTCCCATTTTTCATGAGATGAACTCAAAGATCTAAAACATTTTCTATATACACAAAATAACCATTTCTCTCAAATATTGTTCACAAACCTGAAAAAATCTGTGATAGTGAGCACTTCTCCTTTGCCGAGATAATCCATCCCACCTCACAGGTGTGGCATATCAAGATGCTGATTAGACAGCATGATTATTGCACAGGTGTGCCTTAGGCTGGCCACAATAAAAGGCCACTCTGAAACGTGCAGTTTTCTGTTATGTGGGGGGTCTGGGGGGGTCCCGAAAACCAGTCAGTATCGGGTGATAGGTTAGGATAGGGTAGGTTAGGTTTAGTGTTAGGTTGACGGGTAGGGTAATGTT